TTTGCAGCTAAAATAGAAGTACTGGGAGAAAAAACTGAAGGGCAAAACAAGTTACTTGCTCTCTTGGTTTCTGTGGCTGGTGCTTCTGCTGGAATTCTTTTCCTTCAGATCATTTGGTCCTCTCTTAGATGCAGTGTTAAAGTTGCCGAGTCACCAGACTTGCAGAGGTGCTGTTGAGTCCCACTGTCCTGTCCTCAGAGCAACCCCTGGAATTATCAGGTGCTCTCCTCTTGAGGAAACTGCAGCAGCAGAGGCCAGACACAAACAAGCTTCTGTCAGGATAGGGCTCTATTCTGCAAGTCAACTTTTGGTCTTTGGGAAGAAACCGTATGTTGGAGAGAGCAGTATGCCTTCTCCACTTTGCTGTTGCCAAAGGGATGTGCTCAGTGCCTAGCATCTGAAATGACAGTTTGAGAAGACACGAGCTTGCATCAGTGCTTGAGGCCTTATTAACTTATCTGTGTGTCCACCCTGAAGCCATTAGCTGCTTGCAGATGGGATGTTCCAGTCTCTACCTAGCAGTGTTTGGAACTAGCATTGCCCCAGTATGCCCTACATCTTTGTGTTCAAGTTCTGCTGTCTTACCTGTCATTGGTTATATGCATAGTGTTTTATTTGTAGTATTACTATTTTCAGTAAAGTGAATGCATGTATAGTTAGTTATTTTTAGTTTCTTGGCATTTACCTAGTTTCTGTGCTATGTGAACACCATCTCTGTCTAAACGTTTTCATCACTGCTGGAGAAACTCTCTATCCATCGGGCAGCTGTTTGGTAACCCCCGGTCCTCTTCTGCTTCCCTTCCCTGCCTCTACTCTTGTCGCCATCAATCAGTTCTGCCGGCGTGGATTAATTATTATTCCTTACATACTGGGGATCAAAACCAGAGCCTCACACATGGTCAGCAAGCATTGACTCACTGAGCTATAACCAGTGTCCCTCTGTGGGTTGATTTTTCTTCCCAATGTCTCATGTAACTAGAGTCACAGACAGTATAAATACCCGACAGTGGTGACTTGAGTGTTTCCGAGGTTCATCCACAGTTGCCTGTCAGTGCTGTGTTGCCTTTTATAGATGATATTATTGCGTTGTTTGCACACCATACGTTTTGCTGGCCTGTTCATCCCCTGGCCCATACTTTGGTTGTGTTTCTTGTCAACAGTGCTACTGTGAACATGCCCATGCATATAGTTATTTGAGTAACTGCTGTAGTACTTTTGGGGTATATAATCGGTAGGGGACTTCATAAACATGTTAGCTAGCTCTGGCTGCCTTGGACCTCACTGTGTAAGCCAAGTTAGCTTCCCATAGACATCAGCTCATAAGATAGTATTGTGCTTCACTTTGTGAGGATGTACAGTTTCCAGCTCTCACTTTGAATTCTCCCCAGCAATATACAAAGTTCAGTTTGTATATTGTTTCTCTGTTTTCATACCAACACACATCTTCTCCACCCCATCCGCATTAACAAAGCTGCCCTGCTGGGCATCAGGAGGCTTTTTGCTGAGGTTTCATCCAAACCCTCCTAACTGACTATGCTGAGCCTTTTCCAAGTGCTGCTTGTGACTCTTGGGATTCTTCTGAGAAATGTCTATTCAGTTCCTCCTCCCATCTTTAAGTTAGCTATTGTATTTTTTCTTTTTTTTGTTGATGTGTAAGAATTCTTTATATTCTAGATAGAAGTCTATTCTCAAATGGGATTTGTATTTTGCCATTATACAGTTTTTATTTTTTTGGTAGTGACTTTAATGCATAAAGGTTTTAATTTTGATTGAGTTCAGTTTTTTCTCTGTGCCTTGTGCTTGTGGCATTGTGCCTGACTCACTTATGGTGTCTCAAAGACTAGGTCTGATTTTCTTCCATGAAAATTAGATCCATGGCCTAATACTCAATGAATATATTTAGTTCTATGATCAGTTTTGAGTTAATCATTACATATGATCTCAAATGGAAGCCCAAGTTCTTTCTTTTTGTCTCTTTGGGATCCATAGCTTGTTTTCTTTTGAGACCGTCAAGCTAGGTAGGTCTGCTTGGCCAGTAACTCACTGTGTAAATCAGGGTGGTCTCAAGCTCGCAAGCAATCCAGTCATCCTACCTATGCTTCATACACGCTGGATTAGAGGAATTAGCATGCCTAGGTGTATGTATGATATTTAAACTTTTTTTACATTTAAATTTTGGGATTTTTTTTGAATTAGCATGCAAAGTAGCAGTTTTCCTTAGGATGTTTTTATCATACTTGGGCCGGTTGATCCTTTTGCTCGTTTGTTAGGGTTCCCTCGAGGAACAGAACGTATAGAATGACTCTAGATAGAGAAAGAGAGTTCATTAGAATAACTTAGAGGCTGTGGCTCAGCTAACCCAGCAATGGCTGACTATGGATGGGAAGTCCACAAATCCAGTAGTTGCTCAGTCCATGACCTGGCTAGCTCAGATGGTCTTCGTACGTGCTGTAGTCCCGAAGAGATATTTGCTCGTTATGATCTTGCTACATTTGCAGGTATTAATGTATTCAGTTTTTAATCCTGCCCTTATGAAGTAGCCATTCTTATTTTCACTTACAACTGTTAAGAAGTGAGGCTCAGAGAGGCTGAATGAGCTCACTGTTCAAGGGCACACAGGTCTGAGACTGGGGGAGCTCATGTTCCTGGAACCTGCTCTCTGGAACCATGTGCATTCATCTTTGGATTTCAAAGGTAGTATGATTCTTTTTAAATGAATCAATTCAAATATGGATTCAAAAAAATGCCTTATGTCTTGATGGCTGTGTTAAAAATGTGGAAGCTGGTGAGGAAGATGAACTTGGAAACCAACACCCTTAGGGGTTACCATATAAGTTTAATTCTACTTAAAAATAAAATGGTGACATCCTTAGTTTTGGTAAGGCCGGGCATAGTGGAAATCAAACTCGGGGTTTTGAAAATGCTCCACCACTGAGTTGTGGTGCACGTCACCCTCTTTTTGGTTTTGGTCACAGACACTCACAAGACCCACCTGGTTTGTGAGTGTAGAGCTCCTCGGAGTTCAGTGACGTGAGGCGTTGTCCATGAACTTACAATGAGCACTCATTTGGGAGTGTCTGTGTTGTCCTTCACTCTTTCTCCCCTTCCGCTGCTTCCCCTTAGCTTGGAGACCTGCTCCTTCGACCCCATTTCCCCACCCTCCGCCCCGCCCTTCCTCTCCTGCCATGGCTGCAGTGCTGTGCTGTGAAAGGCGCATATGCTGTTTTGTAAATGCAGTGATTGGGTGGCAGGGTGGTCTCCATTTGCCAAGTAAAGTGGCAGATTTCTCACTGCCAGCAGCTCAACACCCACCAGGAGAAAGCAAATAAACAGCACAGTGCTAGGAGCCAGGAAGTGGCATCTCATAGAGAAACACATAGGTTTGGGGGAAGTTGCTAACTCCATAGGAGAGCTAGGAGCCAGGAAGTGGCATCTCATAGAGAAACACATAGGTTTGGGGGGAGTTGCTAACTCCATAGGAGAGCTAGCTATGGACGGGAAGTTCTAAGGTTCCTTCACTTGGGAAATTGTTGGATTGTAGGTTCCTTGTATGGAAGTCAAGTTGTTTTTGGTGTATGGCAGTTTTTCTGTGATGAAACATTAACCCAAACTATCTGTTTAGGTAACTGTTAACCTTGCCATTCATTAGATTGCCTACTCATGTGATTAGGATTCGTTGGTAGATTGCTTGGGTAGCATGCACAAAACCCTGGTAGGATCCCTAGTATTGCGTAAAACTGGGCGTAGTGGGAGTTCCAGACCAGCCTGGACTACATGAGACCCTGTCTCCAAAACAACAGTTGCAGGGAAGGGGAGGTGACAGCTACAGCAACAACAACAACAAAGCATTCATTGAATTAGCTCCTGTCAGTTTAATGTTTTACTATGGAAAATAGAAATTTATTCAGCATGAAAAATCTTAATGCTACTTAATTTTAAAATATGATCTATTTTTTCTCCATACTTAATGAGAGACAGACCAAACAGTTGGTTGATTTTTTTAATGATATTAAGGATTAAAACTAGGATCTTATATATATTAAACAAGTGTTCTACTACTGAACCATACTCCAAGCCCTCTGTGAGTTCGAGACCAGCCTGGTCTACAAGAGCTAGTTCCAGGACAGGCTCCAAAACCACAGAGAAACCCTGTCTCGAAAAAAACCAACCCCCCCCCCCCCCAAAAAAAATACCCCAACTTTTTATTTTGAAGTAGAGTTTTATGAAGTTGTTTAGGCAGACTTTGAACATGTGATTTGTCCTGCTATAGCAGCTCAACTAGCTGGGATTATAGGACTCTACTACCAGGCCCAGTAGGTTTTCGAGTATTTTAAAGATTTTATATATTTCATATTAATGGTATTTTATAATAAATTATTGAAAATAAATATCACATAAAATCTTAAATCCAAAGCTTATAAGAGCATTTGAACCAAAAAACATTCACTTCAAAATGTGTTCATGAGCCGGGCGTTGGTGGCGCACGCCTTTAATCCCAGCACTCGGGAGGCAGAGGCAGGCGGATCTCTGTGAAGTTCGAGACCAGCCTGGTCTACAGAGCTAGTTCCAGGACAGGCTCCAAAGCCACAGAGAAACCCTGTCTCGAAAAACCAAAAAAAAAAAAAAAAATGTGTTCATGTATTAGTTACAATACACTTTTATAAAAAGTAGAGTTGGCGTTTGTTAGGAGGAGATTTAAATTATTCCCCTGTGTCTTGAGGAGAAAGCTTTGGTTCCATTCTGTTAGGCTGGCTTTGAGAGAACAGTTTTGGTTTATGGAATCTGTGGCCTGTAGGGGATTGTTTAACATTAATAGAGATGGTTGTAACTTTCTTGTTGCTCTTTTTGTATATGTTTTGTTTGTTTCCTTGACTTGTAGAGCCAGGAAATTACTTCAGCCATGGTTTCAAGTAGTTATGGCATGTCACAGACCCCAGGGATGACGCTGGATGATGTGTGTTCCTCTTCACCTATTAATGTTTTGCTCTTATAACTTTCAGGCCCCGCTGAAGTTCCCATGATGTCGCCCAATGGGTCCATCCCTCCCATCCATGTGCCTCCAGGTTATATCTCACAGGTATGGCAGTTGACCAGCATCTCCCTCACTGGTATACTGTTATTTTTCCAGCAAAATACATCTCAAGACTTAACAAACATCTTTCATGAGTTAATTTAGTTATGCTGACAGAAGAATCGTGTCCTTGTTTGCTTTCTGTTGCTGCGCTAAAAACACTACCAAACCAACTTGGGGAGGAAAAAGGTTTATTTTAGCCTACAAATTACAGTTCTTTCATGGAGGGGAAGCCAAGGCAGGAACTTCAGGAAGCAACTAAGCAGAACCATGAACGCATCCTACTAACTGGCTTGCTCCCAGACCCACAATTCAGCTATCTCTCTTCTGCATCCCCTGCCTCCCTGCTTAGGGGATGGTACCTCCCTCAGTGCACTGGACCCTCCTACATCACTCACTAATCAGAAATTGTCCCACAGACCTGTCATCGGCCATTTGACAGAGGCAATTCTGCTTAGATTTAGTTGACGAGAAATGTATGTAACCAGGAGAGACTGCTGTCTTTTAGGGCACTGTTGACACTTCCCACGTCTTGCAACCTGAGGTACCAGAGTCAGAGGAAATCAGAAGGAGCCGTAGGCTGCCTACATATAAGTTCAGTTACACGCCTAATGTCTGTATGACATTCCTCTGTCTGTGGAACTTTTTGTTTTAGGATTTTCCTCCCATCTGTCCTATGATTCAAATGCCCAGGTTGAACTGACCATGTGGCCGAGAATAGCTTTGAGCTCCTAGTCTACCCCCCGTCCTCATCTCTTGAATGCTGGTTACAGGCAAGCATGACCCATATCCTGCACAAGACAAAAAAAAAAAAAATTTCTTTATATTGATTTTTCAAGACAGGGTTTCTCCGCAGCTTTTTGGTTCCTGTCCTGGAACTAGCTCTTGTAGACCAGGCTGGCCTCGAACTCACAGAGATCTGCCTGCCTCTGCCTCCCAAGTGCTAGGATTAAAGGTGTGCGCCACCACTGCCCAGCAAGACAAAACTTTTAAAGGATAAAATTTTAGTTCTATGCCTAGATAGGAGGGAGAGGTTTGGAGATAGAAGTTTGGGTGCCTGGGAATTTGGGGTGCTTAAAATCCAGGGGTGTGTTTATATTTTGAGTTTTTGTTCAAGGCTCAACCGATCCTTATACTTCACCATTTCTCACTAATTAAGCATCTTTATTTTTTTCATTTTGCCTCATTTGTTGGTTGTTCTTAACTGTAAGAACATCTTACAAACATTGTGAAAATAGGGAGAAAGCTTCAGAAGACTTGGAAAAGAACATATTTACAGTTTACTCAGAGATGGTGACCACTGTTAGCTTATTTGGGTCCTATTCCACACCCCCTTTAAATTTTTCTTTGGTATCTATACCTTAAAATATTTAGAAACAGTAATTTTCCATTATTAATATTTTGGGGGGTTGGTTTTTGAGGTTTTTTCTTTTCTTTTGTAGAAGGAAAAAAAAATTGGCACCTACTTAGGAAAATTGTTGAAGCCCAGGCAAGAATCAACGAAGATTTATCTTTCTTTGATGTGAAAAACAGAGCCATTTCTTCACCGTGCAAGGCATACAGCAAACACTATAATTTCATCTTTTTTCCACCCTTACTTTCGTGTGAGCCAATTTGACATTCTTTGAGTTGCCAGATTGTTGGCCAGTTCTTCTGCTGTTCTCAATCTCTGCACATAAGTCTCACTGGAGGAAGAAAGGGTACAGACCAGGCTCCTGACGGGGTGTGGTAATGAATGACGTTCATGTCACCAGTTGGTTAATAGAGAGGAACAAAGAATCTCAGCCTTCTCTTCTGCTCCCTGCTCATTTATTTTGAGAAAGTGTTTCATTCCATTGAAAACAGTATGGTTCTCACCATTATGACAGCAAAAATAACACCCCCCTTTATGCTAAAGGCCATTAGTGGATACTATTTAAGACTGGACACTCTAATGGAGGAGAAGCTGTGCTTAAAAGTGGGCCTTTTCTTGCTAGTAGTGTTGCTGTCGTTCTATTAAATGCACAGTATTTGTACGGAATCCTAGAAGAGAACAAAGGAGAAATTTTCTACCTTAGGATATTTCTGATTTTGAGAGACTTCTATTAAAATTAACATAGAAAGGATAGAAGCAAAGCTGTAAATTCATGGTTGAAGCACACTGACAGTCCTTCCCAGCTGACAGTTCTGCTAGAAAATGCTAGAAGATTCTGGAAGTATATAGAAACAATGGAATAATTGTGATGTGGGTTTGGAAAGGAAGAGGAGGCCACAGTTGTGAGGCCTGTGACCACCTGTATGAGGCTGACTTTTTTTCAAGGCCACGAGTTGAAAGCAGCAAGGCAGGAGCTCTGTCCTAGCTGGAAGCTGTTTCACTTGGGCTTTGGAACCCAGGGCGTGCCGAGAGTTTATTAACCTTCAGCAGTAGATTGTGTCTGTAACAGAATGCTATGGCGAAGTGGCCGAGAAAGTTGTTGTTAGTATGAAAAAAATTGAATTTAAAAGGCAGTAGAATGTATGTTCATCTTCCAGGGCTGAATGAATTCCACACTTCAAAGGAACCCAGAGAAAAATGTCTGGGGAAACTTGTCATCAGCAAGAGATCTGAGGAGCAAGAAACAGAGTTGTCATGAAGTTGTGGGAAGAGAGAGTCTTAGTCAGGGTTTCTGTTGCTGCAATGAAACACCATGACCAAAAACAAGTTGGGAAGTTGGGAAGTAAACTTTTTTTTTTTTTTTTTGACTTATGCTTCCACGTTACTATTCATCATTAAAGGGAAGTCAAAACAGGAACTCAAAGAGAGCAGGATCCTGGAGGCAGGAGCTGAAGCAAAGGCCATGGAGGGTGCTTCTGACTAGCTTGCTCCCCATGACTTGCTCAGCCTGCTTTCTTAAAGACCCAGGGCCACCAACTCAGGGGTGGCACCACTCACGATGGGCTAGGCCCTCCCATGTGATCAATAATTAGGAAAATGCCCTAACGCCTGATCTTATGTCAGTATCTTCTCAATTAAGGTTCTCTCCTTTCAGATAACTCTAGTTTGTGTGTCAAGTTGACGTAAGATCAGCCAGCACAGAAAGAGCCATAAAAACCAAGAGAAGTTGTACTTCAGCTAGGGTTTGTCAGGGGTGCTTAGAACCCATCAGTTCTGTTTCCTTCCCAGTGCCCAGTCCTGAAGCAGGCATGGGTGTCTTCCTCAGGTCTAGAGCCCACTTCCTATTAGAGTTACATAACTTGGGGGTTGCGACCCTTGCCACTCAGCCTTGCTTACATTCATAGTGGTCCGTCAACCACACTTCAGCATGGTAAACATCTGACTCTAGATGGTAACTTTTCACTTCTTAATTGTATGTATCTGTGCTCCTTATTTTGCCATTCGAAAAAAAGCTAAGAGCTCTTGTTTGTTGAGCAGTTCAGCCACCCTTTCTGGCCCAGTGACCCTCCTGGTAGAGGTAATCCTTTAAGATACTGCCATTCTGTTCTCTCAGCACCAAAGGGCGTTTTGTCCTGTCTTTGTCCCAGGATGTATATGTATGTATATGTATATATGTATATACATACATACACACACATTTATATACACCCAAGAACTGTCATTGCTTCCTGTGGATTATAGCTGAACATATAGGATATTGGCTGTATACAGCATGAGTGTATAATGTAGTTGGTAAGATGCATACCACCTATCATTTGGGTCAGTGACAGACTTCACATACAATGATGATTCTGGAAGAGTATATTCTCCAGTAGGATAGTGGAGAAAGAGTAACGTTGACTGTTTATAAATTGAAATTTATTGTTGTATGTTCCAGAATATATAAAAACAAAATTTCAAAGACAACTAAAAATAAGAGAACACACACACACACATATGATGGCATAAGAAGTTTCATGTATCTGTAGGGTGTGAAGACCTCCTATGACTTGAGTGGACAGACAACATAACCCAAAAGTGGGCCATGAGTATTGATGTTTTCAGTGCCCTGCCTGGGCTACATAGCAAGACATATTTATTGTCTGAATAAAGCAAACATTGGAGATGTAGCTCAGCAGCAGAGCTGTCACCTTACACATCCAAGGCCCTGGATTCATACACCGTACTGCAAAATAACCAACCAGGCAAACAGCAAAAAGGCTAAGACTTAGACATTCTCCTCTGGGCCAGCTAGGATGTGTAAAAGTGTTCAGCATGCATTGTACACTCTGGGATGGGTGTAGTGAGAGAAAGACAGGGGGGAGGGGGAGAAAGAGAGACAGAGACAGAGAGACAGAGGCAGAGAATATGAATGAGAATCAAGTATTACTAACCCCAGGGAAACAAGGAACACCTATCCACTGTATGTGGCGGTGTCAGGTTGTCGATCCACTCTGAACGACAGTCTCAAATGGTGAAGCAGGGCTACCATGTGTCCCAGCAGCCACATCATTAGGTGTGTAGGCAAAGAGACTGGAAAATACATGACTGTACAAACACACGCACACATAGGTTCTTAACACCTGATCAGCAATGATCAGTGTGGGATCAGCCCACATGCCTGTCAGCTAAGAATGGATAGATGGCTAGAACATGGTAGGTAATTGAGGAGGAGCTAGGTGCAAAGCTGCATAGGGCTGGGGAGGGAGTGATGGGGAGTTACTGGCTGCTGACCAGTTAGGGTAGTGTGTGTAGGTGATGAGACTGCTCAGAAAGTACATAGTGATGATGGTGTTCAAGCTAGAGACTGCTAAAATCCACTAAATCAGATGCTTTCAAAAGATGGACTTTCTGCTGTATAAATCATATTCAACAAAGCTGTGACACAAGAGAGGGGACAGTGATAAACTCACTGCACTATGAAAGACAAGAAATAATGGTAGCTGGGGAAAGCCCTGCCACCTTGGTGCTTTTGGTGCGGCAGAGCTGGTAGGAGTGTCTGTGACATTGTACACTGTGATTTAGTTGTCTGTAGTTTTCACCTCAGACCACATGTGAGGAACCTGAGGGTCAGTCTGCAGCCCAGGCATTTCTGAATATACTGGATTCTTTT